GAATATAGACTTACACTAAACAGAGACCTGGACCAAATGCCGGCAATTGTTCCAACTTGGACAAAACCTCCTCTTGATTATGTTAAATGCAATTTTGATGCTACATTTGATGCCAACACTAATCACACAAATGGAGGATGGATTATTCGGGACCATAACGGAGCACCTAAAGCGTGGGGTTCATCACGTTTGAATGTCACAGGCTCACCTTTGGAAGCAGAAGCACAAGCTTTACTCTCCTCAATGCAACAAACGTGGATTCGTGGCTTTACCAAAGTATATTTTGAAGGCGATTGCAAGATATTAATGGACAGCATCAATAATGGCTTATTGGACGCATCTATTAGAGGATTATGTGAAGATATCAAGTTCTGGATGCCTAAGTTTAAGGACGTTTGTTTTGTTTATGTTAATCGTTCTTGTAATCAAGTAGCTCATTGTCTTGCCAAATTTGGTTGCACTCAATCTAGTTTTTACTCTGCAGTTTCAGATCTGCCTCCTTGGATTGTGAACATTTTGTATGCCGATATTTCAAATTAATATAAGTTATTTTGACGAAAAAAAAAAAATCCATTTTTAGAAATTTTGATATAGTCTTTTTCTGTATCCGTCTTTGTATTTGTTTCGGTGTAACATATGTATAATAAGGTGGTTGATCGATTAGTCGATACATACTCAATTTGTATCCTATTTTTATGATGGGAATTTCGGAGAAATGCCCATCTTAGTGTGTATATTTTCAAAAATGCTTCTTCATGTGTCTATTTTCAAAATACCTCTCATTAAATCCGAAAAGTTTATAAAGTTTCATAAGATACTTGTGGATGGTTACTACTATTCAAAGAATCGATCTAAGTATTTATAAAATTTTATATGTAATTTATAAAATTTAATTAAGTTTTACAAGGTATTTATAAAGTTTTACAAAATATATATAAGGTTTTATAAGGTATATATTTATCAAGTATTTAAAATGTATTTATAGGGTACATTTATAAAGTATTTATAAAGTTTTACACTAATAGAAAAGTAGTTTGTTTATGATTTTATAAGGTTAAACACGTATTTGGATAAAAATGTATTTTGGAATTTCCCCACCCCCTTCCTTTATGTTTTAATATTCTTACAAGTCCCCCAGGCTCCATGAAGATCATTTATTAATTATTAGTGTTGTGTCCCGTGCTTCGCACGGTCAAAACGTTAACGTGAAGAAAACCTTAGTTTAATTTATTTATTTTTACCAGAAAGAGGTTATAGGTAAATAGAATAAAAAATATGTTGAGGTTTCTACAAAATAATGTCGTTTCCTTGTTAAGAAGAGTGGAGAAATGGAGAATATTGGGATCGTGGGAGGTGGATAAAGCAGTTGATACGTTTAAGTGAATTTTTTTTTTTCTCATTTTTTTCGTCATAAATTGGTTTAGAAAAATAAAGGGAATGAATTTGAGACTTAAGGCACTTGTCAAATGAAGAGAGATGCAGTTTTTAGAAAAGTGACTTATGATTTATTATAACAAGACTAGTATTCCCGTACGGGAAAAATAAATTGATTAACAAAATATATAATTTAATATGTAGAATAATTTTACCACACAATTTTGGATAGAAAAAAATATAAACATCAAAAAATATTTGTTTCTGAGCAATATTGAAAGTTAATCTGATAAATAAGTTTATTTGCTCAAAAGTAAATTTGATAAATAAACACTATACAAAAGCACCATTAACCATTTATGTTGCTCTAAGCCTTCTTCTTGGCTTCCTGCGGTGCTCCTTCATATTTATGGAGACTTTTTGTTGGATTTTAAAGTCACCTTCTTAATCGTTGCTCTCTACAAAACTTCCAACATGACAAACAAACAAAACATACATAATTATTTTATTTCATCAACTTATTGTAGTCCAAAATATAAATAAAATATTTTTTCTAACAAATTTATTTTGACCAAATTTATGCACACAAATAGTTCTTTTTTATATATATAATTGTGCACATAAAATAGTTGTGTCATAATTCTGTTTTTCTTATAGTAGAAGAATCGTACTTTTTTGCCACCATCTTTTCCTCTCGTAGCTCAAGTCTTTTTTGCTGTCATGTTTCTCGGCTTCTTTCATAGTATATCTAACCTCGATCCCTTTGATCTTATAACCTCCACAAACAAACACCTAGCAATAGTTACTCTTCCTTCTTTCGGGATCTCCAAATATACTGATCTTCAAGGAAAATAGATCGAAATCCGAATATGCAATCTCCAGTGACTGTACTCGGCGGTGGATGGCGATGTGGCTTAGGAACTCGCCGTTGACGCAGGAATTGTAGTTGCAGGAGGCTGAGTTTGTGAGAGAGTTGGAAACAGAACGGGCCGAGACATATATCTCCAAAAATATAAGCGACGGCCCCGGCTCCGCTCCATAGGCCATAGCCGTCGTGAGGATACACGGTTATGAGGCGTTTGGAGAGAGCTTTTTTTTTAAAGAGTCAAAATTTCAAAGAGCAAAAAAATGTGTTACGTTCGAGTTCGTCGTCAAATAAATATGTGGAAGAAGATGGAACGGTTTCAACGACCTTAAGATCGTGAAAATGTGGTGAGGTGGTGTGGTTTTTTGTTCGAGAAAAAATAGGGATTTTAAAAAGAAGTTGCATGTGTTTTTTTTTTGGAATACTTCATCGTGGGTTTTTACTTTTTTTCTTTCTAATAATTAATAGTAATAAAATTTAACTGTTTGACAAAAAAAAAAAAAAAAAAAAAAATTTAACTTAGACGGACCTCAAAATTACGAAATCCAAAAAAGAAAAAGAGTATTGGGCAGTTTTTTTTTGTTCTGTTTTTAATAATAAGTTTATTCTTTTTTTTTGTTTGTTAATTTTTTTTCCACGATCTCAATTTTGTTTTAGAATTTTTTGTATGATTTAAATTGTAAAAAAAAAATCTATGTGGCATTGTTTGATTGGTTAGGTGACTTGTGCTTTATATAATAAAGGATTAGTGAATTAGTAAATGAAAAGAAAAAGAAATATGAAGGTTAATAAATACTTCCTCCCTATCACTTGATGCTTTTGCGATTTTTTTGTCTCATTTCAAGTGATATTTTCAACTTTCTATGCAAAAACTAATTGTAATTAATTATTTTTTGACCAATAATCTTTTACAGTATGCTTTTTTATTTTGGTTATATTTTTTCTTTAATGGTATTTTTATGTAAAAGAGATAAAATGAATGAAAATTATAAGTTTGTTTTTGTGCGAATATATTTGACAATATGTAAACTGAATATTAATAATAAAGATATTTTATCATTATGTTTTTGTTATAGAAAGATATTTTACCATTATTTCTTATAAACGAATTAACTTTATAAACGTTTCAAAATATGGAAACTTAAATTTACTTCTATTTTACTGTTTTGGAGACCAAAAAAAGCATTTATTATTGTATTTCACGTCATAAGGAGGTATCAAATATAATGTCATAAATTAAGATGTTTATATGTTTCGATTTGTGTCTAAACTAAGGAGGGGTTATTGGTTCATAGATTTATATGGAATTAGAAATCCAAACAAAAATCATTTGTTATTCAATCATTGATTTTAAAATCCTAATTAAATTCATGTGTTATTGGTTCTATGATTTATAAATACTAGTTAAAATCTTATGTTATTCGTTTAGTCATTTGTTTTTGGATTTGAGAATCCAAATTATGTTTTAAATGGAATTGAATGGAATTGAAAGAGAAAAATAGAAGGATTCAAATCCATGGGTAAACACATGTTATTTCAAAATCCATATATCTTGATTTCATAATTAATAGAAATTTTCAAATTCTATATGGATTTACAAATTAACAAACTAATAACACCCCCTAAAAATAGCGAAAAAATATTCGTCTTTTTTTTTTTTTTTTTTTTTTTTGGGCACCGAAAATATTCGTCTCTTTAAACTTACGATTTAGTCCATTAACTCTTCCTTATCACCACATATATAAAAAGGCAACGCAATATATGTTTGCTCTCTATAGTATATATATATGATCATCAATAGGTAAAGTGAAAATAAAATCATTTAAAAGGTTATCAATTCTCTTGAGAAGTGAATTCTAACGAAAGAAAAAAACACAAAATGCAAAACCAATGTCCCACCCTTGGTCCCAAATGTGACATCTGTGATTGCTCAGGCAGTGGATGCCAATCTCAATTCCCAGGTAATATATGTTCATCTATACACTTTTTGAGTTCTTCTACACATGATCTTGAGAAAACTCCACCAATCATTCTAACATGTCATATAACGTGGATCGTGTAGTTAGTCGTGTTCTAAATCAAGTTAGATTTTTCATTTTGGAATACATTGTTTGTTTGTCAAGTTCATGTTCTTGATTACAAAAAAAGTAATCCCATTTTAGCTTAACTGTTTCTAGATGTTTTTCGATTCGATTTGGATTATACCGGATTGATTTTGTACACTACAATAAGTTGATTTGATTCTCCAAACTACGTTGGAATATTCTAAGAGAACTGAAACCGAAACCTAATGTAAAAACTAAAAACCCTAATTAACCAAACATGTTTCTACAAACATTAATACCAAAGTTTAAACATTTGTAGTTTGGTATGTTTAGGAATGAAGGTGGAGTGGCCAGAGCTAAAAGGAGTGAGTGGACTTCAAGCAAAGGCAACAATAGAAAGTGACAATCCACGTGTGACTGCTTTCATTTACCCTCAAGGTGTTTATCTACCATCCATCAATTGTTGCAACCGTGTCATTCTCTTTGTTCCAGCTGAAGATTGTCCCAATGGTCCTGTTCAAAATCGTCCAATCGTCGGATGATCCACTATGTTGTTGTTCTTCTTTTTCATCATCTTGAGCTTCAATATTTTTCTTAACTACGAATGTTATACTTTTTCAACTGTTATCAACTTTTCAACACATTAATCGTTACCATATTGAACAAAAACACAAATTTGTTCGAAAAAAAAAGAGAACAAAAACACAAAAAGATAACTAAACTTGACTAAACAAGCCCAATGGGCCTTTATTCCTAATAAGCCCATCGCAACGGCTCCAACAAGGCAACGCCACTAAAAAAAATTCTTCATCTTTCTTCTTTTGTCAGTCTTCTTCAGTGCAGACTCAGACTCGCTCTGCACAAGAAATTGGAGTTGTCACCACTCAAATTCCGCAACTTTCTCTCTTCGTACGTTTCCTTTACTCTTTCTTTTCTTTTCTGTTTGTTTTCCTCTTTCCTTTTCTTCCTTACCTTCGTAATTTCGTTCAAAGTTAGGGTTTTTTTTGATGACCTATTTTGATTTCTTCCTGATTTTTTTTGTTTCGGCTGAAGGTTTAGCTTCTAGGGTCTTTCTTCGTTTAGGGTTTTGTTTCTTACATTTGCCTAAAATTTAACTCTGTTCCTCATTTATGATCTTCTAGAATGTGTTTATAGAATGTGTTTTGTTTCTGAAGAACGTTGATTCCTGCATTTACCTATTTTATTTTTCTCTTGTAATCGGATTTGCAGGTTCATTGTTAAGATTTGTTGTTGTTACTGTTGAGGATGGAGAAGACTTGTGGTGAGGATGAGCTTACACTCACTGTCACTAGACTCAACAGTGAGTCTAAGAGACGAAAAATCTGTAAGTCTTTGGAGAAATACAAAGCTGATTCAGCTGGGATATTGAGGAGTTTACAGGAACATCTTGATACACTTGAAACCGATATCGAAAAGAAGTCTCTGGAAGTTGAAACAAAGGAAAACAAGCTTCAAGGTCTGACCTTGAAATTGGGGAAAATCCAAAAGCAGATTAAAGTTGCAGAGATTGAGTCAGGTGACAAAGAAAAGGAACTTGATTTGCTAAAGAATCAGATCAAGTCAGAGGAAAACCAGCTTCAAGTTCTGAGCTTAAACTTGGGGAAAATCCAAAAGCAGATTGAGCAACAAACTAATGTAGTTGAAGCAAAGGCGCGGGAGATTAAAGCAATAGAGATTGAAGCAGGTGGCAAAAGAAAGGAACTTGATTTGCTAAGGAACCAGATCACGGCAGAGGAAATGGCACTCATTGAGCTTAAGAAATTAGTGCAGAATACTCAAAGGGAACTTGAGTTGAAGAAGAAAGAGTTAAGACAAACGAGCAGTGTGTTTGTTAAGAACGAGCAGCAGCCCGTTGCAGCAGAGACTGAGCAGTTTAGTGGAGATCCTCTCATGCGTTATGAAATCTCATCAGTTTCTCTTGGTCACCATGAGGTTTCCAATGTTCTTAGAGCTAAACCTGATCCAGGAAGATATGTTCTGAATCTAGTGGAGGGAGAAGTTAAGGATGCTCATCGCAAAAAAGAATCTGGTTTACGGGAGTTACTGGTGGAGAATTTGGTTGTATTTATTGAAGAGCTAGCAGAAATTAAAGGATGGGACCAGGCTCAACTGCAGCTCAAGGCGACACAGGTGGCTACTATTTGGAAAAGGTTGATAAGCATCGAAGCTCCAAGATCATCTCTCGAGGCTTTGGCTTTTTTGTTGTTCATTGTGGCATATGGATTAAAGAGTTTGATCAATGAAGAAGAGACTGCTCTACTTGTCACATCTGTTTCTCATTACAAACAGGGTCCAAAACTCTTTCATTCGCTTGGTCTCGAACTTAAGATCCCAGGTTAGTTTCTAAAACATTTCTGATACATAAAAACTGAGGGATGAAGCAAGGTCTTATGACTCTTTTTCTATCTTTTGCAGATTATGTGCTAGGTCTCATAAACAACCGCCATTATATTCCTGCAGTACGACTTGTATGTTTGTTCAAGCTTACAGACTTCCAACCCCAAACTCTCTTAATGAAAGAGGTCATCGATTTAAAACGCTCTGCCCTGGAAAAAGTAAGAACTGGTTCTCATGTTTTTAATCTTGGTCAATGATTGGTCATTGGCTTATATATGTTTTTGGTTCATCTTTTAGGCTGAGAACAAAGACGTTGGAAGATTGAGAGCCATCGTTGAACTTGCAGCAGATTATAAGCTTGACATTGATCTTCCAGCGGACCTTATTGCCAAACTCATGTTTCATAAAGAAAACTCAACACCACCTGTGCTTCATTGCGCTGTTGAAGCACCAAGCCCATCAGCAAATGGTGGGTCTTCAGGTTCAAGGGTGGGTCTTCAGGTTCCTAAGCGCGAGACTGAACCCTTCGTGATCCCATTAAAAAATGGTAGGTTTTAATGTCTGATACTCAATATGTATGAAGGCTCTAGTAGGAACCTAATTAGCTAGTGCTAGGTCTCTCTCTCACTTATCAATAGGCTTGTGCCAATTTGGTCTCTTTAGTTGTATCTACATAGTGAACGATCTTGCTTGTCTGTTTGATAAACTTGGTCCACTTTTGGTTCTTGTTATTATCTAAAGCTTGACTTTTATTCGAGAGGGTAAGTATTCATGTAGATGTCACTGTTCTTTGGGTGGTTTTATGGTAGCGTGTTGGAGAAGGTATATATACATATATGATTAGGGCTTTGCTTGCCATTCCAAACGTAAACGAAAAGAGTTCCCATTTGTGAGAGCTCCAAGCATTCAACCATTGAATCGAGACCGAGCCGGAGCCGCTTGAACCGAACCGAACCAAAACTAAAGCAATTGTAAGTATTTGAAACGACCTAATTGAACTAAATTTATTATCACTCATTTGTACACCAAGATTCACTAACTGTTTTTATAGAAATTTATTGGAAAAATACTCTTAAGAAACATCATTTTGAAAAAAATTTTGGACTCAAAACTTTTTTATTTTTGGTAAATGAATATAATTTTTTTTGTTGAATATTAAATGAAATTTCCCAAATTTATTAAGGAACATGTGATGAATTATTAATGTTCCAACGAAAAAGATATTTTTTTGCTGTTCAAAAAAAAAAAATCTCTTTTTGTTCAACGAACCAAAAAAAGACATCAATTATTGATATTAATGTAGTGCAATGATTTTGACTTGACCTGGTTTTCAACTTTTTTTTTAAATACCGAACCGAAATCACAATGGACCAATCAAACTAAACCGGATAAAATTGATTTGATCTCGGTTTATTTACACCTGACAATGACATGAAGATGCCACGTAAACCAACATGATTCGTTTCTCTATTTAGTCCTTTTTTTTTCTCGATTCGTCGTAACCAGTGAAGAAGCTCGAATCAAACAAAAGAGAGAGAGAGAACAAAAAAAAAAATCAAAATCTCCGGTGATTCAGGAACCGTACGTCGGAGATTGTTAAACACGGTGAGGGAAAAAAGATGGCGGGACAATCACGAAAATGGATGATTCTCGTAGCGACGATCTGGATTCAAGCTTTCACTGGTACGAATTTCGATTTCTCGACGTACTCGTCGAATTTGAAATCGGTTCTAGGGATTTCGCAAGTACAATTGAATTATCTCGCCGTTGCTTCGGATCTTGGGAAAGTTTTCGGTTGGTCATCGGGACTTGCACTCTTGTATTTCCCTCTTTGGACGGTTCTTTTCGCGGCGGCGATTATGGGTTTCGTTGGTTATGGTGTTCAATGGCTCGTCATCACTAACGTTATCTCTTTGCCTTATATTCTGGTAAAATAATTTCTCAACATTTTCTTTGTCTCTGTTTGCTTTAATCTTGAATCAATTTGTAAAAACCAAATCAGAAACTTCGAAGTTGAAAACTGTATTCAATTTCTTTAGCTTTATACGTAATTTATTAACTAATGTAGTTTAAATTACTTTATTGCTTTAATGATTATATAATCCATTCATTAAATATTAATGTGTTACATTTTACTTTAATGTTGTTTATAACTTTAATGATACATTTATTCTTTTATACATAATTACATATAATTAGTTGTAGTTAAATTAGAGAAATGTTTCAAGTTTATAGGTAGTTTAGTTCTACATATTATTAAAATTTGTATTTTTGTGATATAAATAGTTTCTTTTGGTTACTAATACTGAAATCAAGATTTGGAGGTTTGGAAGAAGAGTCGGTGAATGGTTGACTGGTTGGTCTCACGTGTTTTTCTTTGGCTTGGTTCTGCTTTGTCTTGGTTTGATGACTATCTCGAGAATCTTTATTGTTTCTTTGTGATCGGATCTTCGTTTTGTGTGTGTATAAATACTTTCTCTTTGTCGCCAATTCATTTAAATAGTGTTTTTTCTTGCAGAAAATGGCAGTTGGGTTTCTTTCTGAATTATTCTTTTTGATGAGTAGCTATTTGAGGATCTTTGTTATGTGGTAAATATAATATTGAATTTTCAGATAGAAAATGTTATGTCTATATGATATTATTTGAATTATCTTTCATATGACTATATGAGCTTAGTCGATTAGTATCTTGGGGAGGAATGATTAATTTTCTTGGATAGAAGATTGTGATCAAATACAACATTTTGTTAGGGATTTTTTTCTATAATTCTTGGTTCTTTCAAAACTGCCATTGGCTTACCGAACTTGCGACTAAAGTATGAATTTTGTTGATGTTTGTGGCAGGTATTTCTATGTTGTTTACTAGCTGGGCTAAGTATCTGTTGGTTTAACACAGTCTGCTTTGTGCTCTGTATCAGAAACTTTCCAGCAAACAGATCACTTGCACTTTCTCTCACAGTGAGCTTCAATGGCGTAAGTGCTGCTTTGTACACTCTTGCTTATAACGCAATCAATCCTGTTTCTACAGAACTATACCTACTCTTAAACGCTCTTGTACCTCTTTTTGTTTCATTCGCTGCTCTCATCCCTATTCTTCGCCAACCGCCTCTTGAACCTCTTCCACCAGATGGAGTTCGAAGAGATTCTCTCATGTTTCTCTTGCTTAACATATTAGCGGTCTTGAATGGTGTTTATCTGCTTCTCTTTCGTTCAAAGACTTCTGATGTAACTTCAGCTCGTCTTCTCTTTGGTGGATCATTACTTCTCTTGATTCTTCCTCTATGCCTTCCTGGTCTAGTCTATGCTCGTAATTGGTATCTACACAATATCCACTCCAGTTTCCGTCTAGAAGGTTCTGGTTTTATTCTTGTTGATGTTGATGAGCTTGAGATGCATAAAGGAATGGTGACACGTGAAGCCAGCCTTGAAGGCTACCAGTTGCTAAACGATGATGTAGTGCGAGCTGTCAATACTCCTGATCAGAAGAGTTTCATTGAAGATGACGACGGATGTTGTTGCACTAAGCTTATTACAAGAAATCAGCTTGGGATGCTTGGAGAAGAACATCCTTTATCTTTACTCTTATGCAGATCAGATTTCTGGCTTTACTATATAGCCTACTTTTGCGGCGGCACGATTGGGCTGGTTTATAGCAACAACCTGGGACAGATTGCACAATCTTTAGGACAAAGCTCAGAGACAACAACTCTTGTAACGCTTTATTCGTCTTTCTCATTCTTTGGTCGATTACTTTCAGCAACACCAGACTATATCAGAGCGTAAGTCCTCGCACAAGCATTTGTATTCCTCTGGTTCTGGCATTGTGAAGATTATGATGTTATTGAAATGTGAATTGTGCAGGAAGGTTTATTTTGCTAGAACAGGGTGGCTAGCCGTTGCTCTTTTACCAACCACAATTGCTCTTTTCTTGTTGGCATCATCAGGAAGCTTGGCAGCGTTACAAGCAGGAACAGCTCTAATCGGTCTAAGCTCGGGTTTCATATTTGCAGCAGCGGTTTCCATAACATCTGAGCTTTTTGGACCCAACAGCGTCGGGGTTAACCACAACATCCTCATCACAAACATACCGATAGGATCATTGGTCTACGGTTTCTTAGCTGCTTTGGTCTATGAATCCCACAGTGTGGCTGGGTCAAAGACCGAGTCAGTTATATGTATGGGACGAGACTGTTATCTCCTAACGTTTGTGTGGTGGGGATGCTTGTCGGTGATTGGACTAGCTTCAAGTGTTGTTTTGTTTCTGAGAACTAGACGAGCCTATCAACGTTTTGAACAAGATCGTATAACTTCGAGCATGCTCTATTCTTAGAATTTTCTCCAACAAATTGGGGGAAGAGTTGGAAACGGTGACTCAAACTTGTGCAGAGATGTGTTAGTGCACATAAGTTTTGATCCTTTTTGCAGAAATAAGAATAAAGAGGGAGTCTTAGGACATAAGTGTGTTCAGATGAAGAGTTTTTTTCAGATTTGCTTTTGGTATATACTGCAATCACTTCACCTTGTAGAAGATTGGAATGATTACGAGTTTGCCTTCATCCATGCATTCTTTGATCTTGACCAGTTCTTCTAATCCCCATGGTTTTTTTTTTTTTTTTTCTAATCCCCATGTTGATTTGGTGTATCTGTTTGAGAAGATTACTATCGCAATCCTTGACAATGCAAACCTTTGACCTAGTAAGCCATACATAATCAATGTAACTGTGAGTCTGTGACGACTCGAATCGTTTGCTCTAATTTCTTTCTTATACATACTAACACATTTCCACAATGTTCCATTTGTTTTACAACATATTGATGTAGAGTAGAATCTTCTACCCTTTGTTATGCAACTCAAACCCCATCATACACGTAACCGAATCCAAAGCTTCCTTCCAAATCTTGAGGTGTTTAGACTCAAAATCACGCATTGCAGGATTCAACAAGTTAAGACCAACTTGTAGAAGATCCGAATCACCATGAATTTACCTTCCTTCATTCCTTCTCTAATCTTCACAAGCTCATCTAACATAGTCTCGATTCAGTGTACCTGTTTGAGAAGACTAAAAGCGCAATCCTCAATCCCCTTGAAATCTCCATCAGTCAACGCATCTGCGAACACGTTGACTCCGTCGCGTTTCTTGTACCTTTTTGTGTGTATTATTAGCCAAAGATGGGTATTTTGTTAGGAATTTACTAAAATTTGGGAGATCCCGATGCTAGTGATTCGTCAGTGAATTATAGATCTCGCAAACAAGTTACTGGTCACAATCCTCGACGGCCACATACAGAGGGAGAAGAGGAAAAACATGATACCACTACTGCTGGGGCGGGCTCAGGTCATATATACCACTAATGTGGGAGGGGAATGACCATGGGTCTTCTTCCTCCGGCTGAAGTTGAAACTCTGGGAACAATGCCAGTGTACGTGTATTTTCAACGTCATTATCAAGCTCCATATTGTCCTGACACTCCTCCATGTCCTTCTCTTTAAACACGACAGCCGCATTCCCAGGAGGAGTGGAGGAGGAAGGCAAGTGGGGTTTATTTGGGTTGTCTTTGTTTTGGGGGACTCTAGATGAGGCAAAAGTTGGCTGAGTAGTTGGAGGAGGAAGTGGAACGAGTGGAGCCGTCGAGAACCTTGCGTTTAGTTGGCCGTGGATGGTTATGCTCAGAGATGTAAGTAATAGCGAACATGTTTGAATTGGTGTCGCTACGTTGGACTTGTTTCGTAGCTAAACAACCTTGCGTGAACCGGTAAGTGCACCTGTAGTAACTCCTGAGGAACAAATAATTCATTAATCCATCAAGTAACCATCAAAGACATAAGTAACCATAATCTAATTACACAAACACGGGGAATAACAACAAAATCTATAATATCCTTCCAATGGAATATAGTGATTATAAGATAAGTTTGCATCATAATAAAGAATCTAAAGGCTTATAATTTGCGCCGTAGAAAATTAAAAGAACTTTATAATTTACAGTTTCACGTTAATGATTCCATATGCAATATTGTTAGTGAAGGGAAAAACAAAGCTGCAGATTCTGTTTAATGTGACTTTTTTTCAATGGTTAATAATTTTTTTGTTTCCTCAATAAAATTTCACTTTTCCAGCAACATATAGGTTTACCAGGCCACCAGCAAGTTAGAATACGTTTTGTGTATAAAAAATGGTGTTTTGCAAGTTGTTACAAAACTTTCCTATTGTAAGAAAATACTATTCTGTTTTCCTTTGATTTAAATAATATTCATCTATATGTATATCTATTTATTATGTTGTAAAAAATATAATATATAGACAGAATATAAGATTATATATAAAAATACATGAGTACCTTGGAAAATTAGAACCTAAGATGTATTTTTGACCGTACTTTCGCCAAGTCCATAGATCTGCCTCGTCTGTAGCCGGTATGCAAACCACTTTCTTTGCCTTGCTCTTCTTCCTGCATCCATCGTCAATATAATATCAATATGTATTGAAACCCATGTAATTATACGTACTTGTATACATGTTGTGATTTATAGCTAGTTTTGTGATCAATGTTAGTGTGGACCATGATCAGTTCGGTTTGAGATACGATGGCATCGTAGTTAACGTTCATTGTTTGTTAAGAAAAATAGGGACATTGTTAAAAAAAGTTTTTAAGAGGAAGATAAGAAGTAAAACAAAAGCAAACATAAATTAAAATATTGATCAAAAGAATTCAGAAAATGTGATATTGCATATAGAATTGTCTCTCATTGTTTTATGAAAGTAAAAAGATACATAGATATGGAAACGTTGAGAAGTGAGTTTTTAATAGATAAAACAACGTTTGCTTGACACATATATATGTAAAGAGTATTTTTCAAAAAGATGAAACTTTGGTGAAATCCTCATGAAAAAAGGATTTAACAAAGAAAGCCGAGCAAAAATGCCAAATGCTATAGAAAATTTTTCCACTACTTGTAAATATTGTGTTTTTCACAATATAAATAACATTTAATTAAATAAAAAAACTTTTTCTAAAATCTTGAATGGAGTAAAAAACGGATTTTTAAACTAATCTAAAAAGTACAAATATTAAAGACCTATGTTATTAAGCAAACTTGGAAAAGAGAGCACATTGGTACATCTCTAGTGGCTTTTGTAAACTTTAGATCAATCTAATAAACTAGACGTTTGAAAAAACTACAGTTTTTTTCTTTTTTTCTAATGCACCCTATGTATACTTAGATATTATCAAATAATGCTTTATTAAAAAATTTGGTTATCTACTAAATTATGTATTTTTCCTAATTAATGATAAGAAAACACCGAACTAGACAAGTCTAAGGGTGTATATGAAGCTGATATAAAAAAGAGAACTTACTTTTTTGGTAAGTCAGACAAATTCTCGGTCATGGAACTCTCACAATCAGATAGCAGCATGGATTGTTCATGGAGGATTTCTTTACCCATTTGTCGTACCAAACAATGCATCACTATTTCCCCATTGGATGATATACTTATGAGAGACACATCGGCTAAAACCTTGAGTCCAGAGCTAACATCCAAGTCAATGCCGGCAATAAGTGGTGCCACCAAATCAACATCCTCGTCATTGAACAAAGACGATATGTAAAGAAATAGAACTTTATCCATCTCCTGTAAATCATCATAGCTGACTCTCAATACTTCTTTAACTGCTTCATAACCAGAAACCTCTACCGGATCCAAGGACAAAACTAGTGATATGTTCTCAAGACTTGTATTGCCAGTTGCAACATTTATTACACGGACTCCACATCTTGTCACTATGAACCGATCATCTAGACACTTTGTCTGCTGATTGATAGGAAAGAACTCAAATACAACTAAGCCAGCCCAGATATCAGGGTCATTTCCTTCACCGGTACTTGGGAACATGTTGACATCACAAAAGACAAAAGTATGATCCTTTCGAACTTTTGAAACAACTTTCGCTGGAGCCCAACAATGAAAATTTCTTTCTATCCTACAAGAGCGGCCTTCTTTGTTGCTCCATCTGCAAACACAACTTATGCCAAAACCTGTAGCATCACAGTAGTCCTCGGAAGATGCAACTTCCACCAGCATACCAAATCCCACAAGCGTGTTCCTCCATGAAGTATTTAGTCGTGTAATTACAGAAGATCCTGGTTGCAGACCAAATGTGGTGTTTTGATTTTTATGTGAGGGCGCACTGAAGCTGAAAGTCGGAGCATTGTTGAGTTCCTGTTTCAATACAAATAAGTCAGATATGATATGAGGAGGGTGTCGTTGGGTGTACATAACAGACATTATAGAGAGTGGGAGACAGAGGCGGACAGAGAAGGAGAAAGGGATTGAGGGGGTGATGGAAAGAAAGCAAGCTAATGGAGAGGTAAGTAGACAAGAGAGAGGCAGAAGGAGAGAAAGAGTATTACCTGCGTATACTCTCTTGGTATGTGTTTTACATAAGTCAGCGCTTTCACCAAAAAATCGTTGACCACTTGTGGAGATAGATCAAAAAAATTGCTGAATGTGTAATGCATAGGAAGCTTCTCCGAGTCCGAACCATGTGCATTCAAGAGCTCTAGGCTTAAAGGAAGTTCGGGCACTTCTCTTAACGTAGTGCCAGCAAAATATAACTCTTTCAGGTTCCGAGGAAAACCCTGAATAGTCTCGAGCTCTGAGCAACCAGAGAGATCAAGAACTTTGAGAAATTCTAAATTAGCCATGTTTGGCAGACTTCGCAAACAAGATCCACGTGCATTCAAGAGTTCTAGACTTTGAGGAAGTTGTGGCACTTCTTTTATTGCAGTGCCACCAAGATATAACTTTTTCAGAAACCGAGGGAAACCCTGAATAGAATTGAGCCTTGAGCAACCCGAGAGATCAAGAAGATTAAGAAGATCTAAATTAGCCATGTTTGGCAGACTCTGCAAACAAGAACAATCTTTCAACTCCAAGCAAATAAGCTTCCCAAGATCTTGACAAGATGAGCTAGATTCCAGCAGACTTGTTAAACGCTCAAGTTTCAAGGCCTCTGAAAGACCCGGAATTTCTGTTAGAAAATTCACAAGCTCTCTGCGGTTTGGCTTAACAGTGGAAACTGGAAATGCTAATATGCCAGTTCCCTGTAGATGTAGTGTCTCAATATTTGGTGGCATCTCTAGGACACTTTTAATCTCTATGCAACCTGAGAGATTTACAACTCGTAGACGCAGCAATTGACCTGCGGCTGGGAAATTCTGCAGTCTTGTACAACCTTGGAGATCAATTACCTCAAGATTTTGAGCTTTAAAGAGATCATCGATATCAACTAGATGCTGGGAATGGCAAAGCCTGATCGTCCTCAACATCTCCAGGTTCTGAGAAGACAAAAAAAAATAAAAAAAATAAAAAAGCTAAATGAATAACAACAAAAGTTGTCAAGTAATGATAAGGGCGAAAGACGCATATCATTGTTTGTTTACCTTGGTTCCACCCCAAAGTTTTTGAAGTTGACTGTACGGCATGTTGATTTCGACAAGGTGCCAAGGATCAAAACTTTGAGGCAAAGATTGCAGAGGATAGTTCTCCCAATGGAGGAGTCTTAGCTCATTAGGAAGAGAATGCAGAGAGCCTTTTGGGAAATTGATTACAGGATGGACTTCAGGATTGGAACAGTAAATCTTGAGCAATTTAAGGTTCAACATATTCTTAAAGGCAGAGGGCTGCACATCAAATCTTAAGTTTGATGTGTCTAGAAACATGCCTTCGATCTCGTCAGAGCCCTGAAAGAATATTGGAAATGTATATATTAGGCTGTTGGCTCATAAAGTAGATTAAATATGAAACTATCAAAATATAACAGACCTGAGTACGTTTGAAGGTTGTTTTAGGTTCTCCACAGGCTTTGTGTTCATTATATTCTAATAAATATTTGATGCTCCAAGGTTCCCACAGTCTTCTGCGCCTCTCGATCTGTACTGTTTCTCCATTTATTATTTCTCGCCCGACATCCTGGGTCAGATTATGCAGCCAAACTCGGTTTTCTGAAATAGTCACCAGACACTTCTCAACAAGGACATCAATTTCAACATGTGGAAAGAAACCACAACCCTCAAGCAGTTGTATCACGTAGTTGACATTTTCTCCCTGGAAGAAACAAGCTATGTCCAGAAAAATGTTCTTCTCGTTGTCACAGAGTGAGTCGTAGCTGCTTTTAAATGCATCGAAAATTTTAAACGGAGGACGTCGCTTGAGTTTGAGGAATGCCGTCTCCATTTCTGAGAGTTTTTTCTTACCTTTCAGCTCTCTTCCATAAACACTGATAGCTAACGGATTTCCATTAGCATAATTTACTACTTTCATTGACAACTCGTGGAGATTCTGCTCTCCCATAGACGCGCACAGCAAGAAGAGTTGAAGAGCTTCTTTCTCATTTAAACCCTGGACCTCATATATTTGATTGATTCCGCAAAGGCGAAACACCTGTTTATCTCTAGACGTTATGATGATCAAGCTTCCGGGTCCTAGCCAGTCAAACCCCTCGAGAAAAGACTCTGCAACCAGAGCATTGCGCACATCATCGAGAACAACAAGAACTCTCTTACTGTTCAATCTGTCTCTGAGCGAGCTCAGTTTCATAATGGTTGCGTCATTGCCCGGGTTTTCTTTGAAAAGTTGTTCCTCCAGCAAACAATAAAGACCCTTCTCATGAAAAGCTTTGTCATAGTCCTCGATAAAGCAAGAAGCATCAAAGGCGCTAGACATTTGGTCAAAGACTGCTTTAGCAAGTGTTGTCTTTCCTATGCCAGGCATACCCCAAATTCCAACACAACGGATGCCTATCGGTTGCTTGTTAACCATGTTTTCAATCTCCAGCAGCTTCGAATAGATTCCAATTCGTCCCTTATAAAAGAGCTTCTCGTACACATCTCTCACAATCTCTTGTACTAGTTTGGAGTCACTACATTCCATTCTGCATCATATTTGATCAATTAATAAAGAAATGCACTTTATCGGAACACTACAATGGCCTACCAAAAAGCTATGCAAATTTTCAACATGAGGAAATGAAAGGATTATCTTCAGAAAGTAGAGCAAAAATTGTGTCGACCTTTAACCTTGAAATCTGCTATAACCAATCATGTCCTCGTTATGGTTTGAGAAATCTCAGTTACTCTCATAAGTGAATAAGTAGCATTTGCAGAATATAATAGCAAAATAAAGCGAATACCTGGAATGGTGAATTGCTGATAAGTCTTTCAAATCCAGCACGCTAATCCAGTCGAGCAATGATGGACTCTCACCGTACAATACTGGAACCACCACCTGGTTCTTGTTCCTCTGGCACTCGCGAACCTTCTCGAACTTGTGGCATGCTCTAGTGGGCTCACAGATTCTGGATAAAATCATCACAGAAACCCTAGCTTTCTCGATCTTTGCCTCAGACTCCTTGGAAAGCAGATCATCGCCTTCTACCTCTATGACCACATTATTTATGCCTTTTCGGCGGAGAGCTTCGGAGAGGTGGCTCACGAAAGAGTACCGTACCTCGTCTACGCAGCTGATGCAGACTAATTCCTCAGCCTTTTCACAATTGGTCATGATTTCGCGCTTTGACACTTTGAACGAACCTTAGATTTCGCCGGAATGCCGACGATGCTTTTTCATGGACATTGGTCTACCACTCAAATCTCAGAGGGTTTTTCATCGACTTGTCAAACAAAAATATCTTTGGTTAAAACATCTAATTATTAATATTGACAAAAAAAAACAATTATTAATATTTAATTATACTTCCAGTTTTGTTTTCCTTCTAATTTTTTCATTTTTTTTTGTCGGCCAACTTTTTTTTTTTGTCGGCCATCTTCAATTATACTTTAAATTTTGTTTGATATTTTTCCAACCGAAAAAAATATCAATTAATACAGAAAAAGAAAACAAAAAAAAAAACAAAAAAAAAAAAAGCGAAGTAAAAAGAGAAAAGAATAGTCAACAATACATTCGTTAAAAAAAAAAAAAAAAGAATCGTAATACATTCTTGCTACTCTAACGCACACCAGTAGAAAAAAGTCCAAGCACACCGGAAAAAGCTTATCGCCATGGAGACATCATCAATTTCCACGGTCGACGACCAGCCACCGCAACATCAGGTGTTCATCAATTTCCGTGGGGCGGATTTGCGCCTGAGATTCGTCAGCCATCTCGTCACGGCCTTGAAATTGAACAACATTAACGTCTTTATCGACGACTATGAAGACAGAGGTCAACCTCTAGATGTACTACTGAAGAGGATAGAGGAGTCCAAAATCGTTTTGGCTATCTTCTCCGGCAACTACACCGAGTCAATCTGGTGCGTGAGAGAGCTGGAGAAGATCAAGGATTGTACGGATGAAGGAACACTTGTTGCGATTCCAATCTTCTACAAGCTCGAGCCATCCACCGTTAGAGATTTGAAAGGAAAGTTCGGTGATAGATTTAGAAGTATGGCTAAGGGTGATGAGAGGAAGAAGAAGTGGAAAGAAGCTTTTAACTTGATTCCTAACATCATGGGCATCACCATTGACAAGAAAAGGTACCTCCCAAATAGATCTATGAACCTTTTATGGAATTTAGGGAGGTCATGATCTCATTAGCCTTGAAAATTGCAGTGTTGAGAGTGAGAAAGTCAATGAAATTGTGAAGGCGGTGAAGACAGCGCTGACCGGGATTCCATCGAAGGGAAGCCAAAATGCCGTCGTTGAGGCTTTAGGAAATGGCAACGCTGGAACTTCCTCAGTGGGTGAAAGCATAAGACTTTTGGAAACGAACAACGTTTAAAGGAGTTGGAAGAGAAGTTGGACCTTCATAAATACAAGGGACTCGTATCATTGGAGTTTTGGGATGCCCGGAATTGGTAAAACCACACTCCTGAAAGAGCTCTATAAGACGTGGCAGGGTAAGTTTACGAGGCATGCGCTAATCGATCAAATCCGTGTAAAGTCCAAGCACTTGGAGTTGGATCGCTTGCCTCAAATGCTCTTAGGCGAGTTTATCGAAGTTGAACAATCCTCACATAGACAATCTCAAAGATCCATACAGTCAACTGCATGAACGCAAAGTTCTTGTTGTACTTGATGATGTTAGTAAAAGGGAACAAATAGATGCTCTTCGTGAGATACTAGACTGGATTAAGGAGGGTAAGGAGGGAAGCAGGGTTGTCATTGCAACAAGCGACGTGTCCTTAACAAATGGTTTGGTTGATGATACTTACATGGTTCAAAATTTGAACCACAGAGATAGCTTACAACTATTTCACTATCATGCATTCATTGATGATCAAGCCAATCCTCAAAAGAAAGATTTCATGAAGCTGTCAGAAGGGTTTGTACATTACGCCAGAGGCCATCCACTATCCCTCAAAATACTGGGCGGAGAGCTTAATAAGAAAAATATGGATCATTGGAATTCAAAAATGAAGAAACTTGCACAGAGTCCCTGCCCTAATATTGTAAGTGTCTTCCAAGTGAGTTATGATGAATTGACTTCAGAGCAGAAAGACGCATTTCTCGACATAGCCTGTTTTAGATCACAGGACAAGAATTATGTAGAAAGTTTACTGGCTTCATCTGATCTTGGATCTGCTGAAGCAATGAGTGCAGTAAAAAGTCTCACGGATAAGTTCCTGATTAATACTTGTGATGGGCGAGTGGAGATGCATGATCTATTGTATAAATTTTCAAGGGAACTTGATCTTAAGGCATCTAATCAGGATGGTAGCAGACAACGGAGGCTGTGGCTTCATCAAGACATAATCAAGGGAGGCATAATTAATGTACTGCAAAATAAAATGGTGAGACCAGAAGTTCCTCTAGATGTTTATTGGTAAAAAGTTACATTTTTTCTCTCTTCACTGATGTCGTGTTTGTTATTGGTTCTTAGAAAGCTGCCAATGTTAGAGGTATTTTCTTAGACTTGTCTGAAGTGAAAGACGAAACGAGCTTAGACCGCGACCACTTCATAAATATGGGAAATCTTCGGTATCTCAAGTTCTACAATTCCC